TATGTAGACATCTGGAATTGCAGTCTTTACTGAACTGAAATATCTCTTCTTAATATCAGGTTATACTTGAGGTTCCAAAGGTAAACTGGGATGATGTCGGAGGGCAGAGGGAGGTTAAGATGCAACTTATAGAAGCTGTTGAATGGCCTCAAAAACACCAGGAGGCTTTCAACCGCATTGGCACTCGTCCTCCTACTGGAGTTTTGATGTTTGGTCCTCCAGGATGCAGCAAAACATTGTTAGCTCGTGCAGTTGCTTCTGAAGCAGGGTTGAACTTTCTTGCGGTGAAGGGCCCTGAGCTTTACAGCAAGTGGGTGGGTGAATCAGAAAAAGCTGTTAGGACACTATTTGCAAAGGCTAGAGCGAATTCTCCTTCAATTATATTTTTTGATGAAATAGATGGCCTTGCTGTTGTACGTGGCAAAGAAAGTGATGGGATTTCTGTGTCAGATCGGGTCATGAGTCAACTTCTTATTGAATTAGATGGTGAGTGTTCCACACTTAAAAGGACTTCTCAGCTTTTCTACATTTGAAGTCTTTTCAAGAACATTAGTGGTCATTATACTCCAATCTTGTTTTTCTTAGGTAAGTAAGTTTAGTTCGTGGCCATTTGACTAAGCATATTCTTGTCATGAAACCCGATGACCGTGCTGTCAAGCTCCACTGCAAAATTTAAAGGGATACAAAATTATGCTTTTCATGGGGTCAGGAAGAAACTTCTAAGATAAATGAATCAAGAACATCATATACTGAACTCCCTACTTTTTTCATGGGTCTGGAAAGATCTTCTAAATTTGATTAGTCAAGAACAATGCCAAATACAAGGCACTGCGTCTCTTCTTGTGATACCATCTTTCTCCATATGCTGCTATAGTTTTGATGTTAAAAAAAGGGTATGTTTTGTGTTAGGTATAAACTACCTGTTTAGGGTGGTGAGTTTCAGCAGGGTTGAATCCAAAGTAACATTAAGTGCAACTATCACACATTGGTATGTATTCAAGATGCAAACATTCAGTTTTTAGAAGGCTTTTATTGATTTTTAAAGGCGGGTCCTCATTATGTAACTACACAAAAGTCATACACATTCAACATGGGTATAACAATGCAAAAAGAGTGTACAACATAGTTTTTAAGTCTTTTTGATCAGTGAGTGAGTTCCAGTCTTTATTCATGTCAGAAGGAGGTACTTACGGATGTCTTGTTAATAACCGGAGGAATGATGTAGTGCAGACTACAAGAGTGATTTGGTTGTAGAGTGATATTGCTGTCTAGAGATGTAGTTTCTTGAACTTTTTGTTGTTTAAAATCAATCCTAAAGGAACAGAACATGAGATGCTTATCTCCACATTGAATCTGAGACACTAATCTGTATACCTAGTGTAAGCTATGACACTAGGTATACAAAGCCAATTTTTTTGTAAGCTAATCTGTATAATTTCTAGATATGCGGGAATATAAAGCAGTGACATGCTTAAGCATTCTTGCTTGACGATCGCTGATGTATATTTGGGGTTAAGGTGAAGTGCCCCCCCACCCCACCCCCACCCCCTTTTGTTGTGCTTCTACATGATTTATATATACATTGCCAGGATCACAATCCTGGAAATTTGAATTTTAAAAAACTCTCAAGACACTACAGGGTAGCTTGGTGAAGGGAAAGGTAATGACATCTCATTATGTGGTTTCCTTTTACTTGACTGAAGATTGTGAGTTCTTTAATAAAATGCCTGGGACTACCCGTAGTCTATGGCTTATTTTAATTTGTTGAACTAGGGTCCTAACTTGGCAAAGCAGTTCAAAATTGTCTCAGTTTTGTTATGTATGAGGAACCTCTTGATTGTCAAAGTTTCTAATTGGCTTAAGCTGTAATTTTATAATTTTTTTTGGTTAAAGGTTTACATCAGAGAGTTAATGTCACTGTTATTGCTGCAACAAATCGTCCAGACAAGATTGACCCTGCTCTTCTAAGACCAGGTGAAATCCGTTATTCCTCCTTTCATGTTGCCTTGGTGGCTGCTGCTACCTATTCCTTGCATAAAATCTGCTAGAGCTACTTAAAGATAGTGCTATTTTTGTTAGGACGTTTTGATAGATTGCTGTACGTTGGACCTCCAGATGAAAAAGACAGGGAGGCAATATTCCATATACATTTGAAGAAGATGCCATGCAGTTCTGACATATGCGTTGAAGAGCTAGCTCGGCTAACCAGTGGCTGTACTGGTGCTGACATATCGCTGATATGTCGTGAAGCAGCTATTGCAGCTATTGAAGTAAATTCACTCTTCAATTTAGCTGTGTATTTATACATCTCTCCACCCCTAACCCGTCCCCTCTTCTTGTGTATGCATATAATTCTTTGTCCTAACCTTCTTGGTATCAGGAAAGCCTTGATGCATCTGAAATAACAATGGAACATCTGAAGGCCGCCATTAGGCAAGTGCCTCCATCTGAAGTGCATTCGTACCAGGAGTTGTCAAATAGGTTTCAGAGGCTTGTGCACTCAGACCCTGTGAAAGATGATTAGTGTCATCAATGGAACATTACAGTTAATGACTTTTGGCGCAGGAGGTAAATCTATCTATATAAGTATACTATAAAGTTCTGATGAGGCTTTAGTAGCTTTTTATTTCTTGGTGGAAGAGATGATATAAAAAGCTGCTACGTAATTCAAGAAAAGCTATAAAACATTGATAAAAAGATATGTACGCAATATATAGTTCAGTAACATTCTTAAATTCAGGATATGGATATTGATAAAAAGATATTTTAACGGATATGCTTGTGTATGTACGCAATGTATAGTTCAGTAACATTCTTATCATACAAAATCACTGCTTATAGCTAGCCCAAAATAGACGCAGAAGACATTTATCGGTTTGAAATCATTCTTCGAATCAAGGGCTGTTTTTTAAGCTTTACTAAATTTGTCCATACTGCTTTTGTAGTGATATCTCATAGTATGAGTTCCGTGTCTAGGAGATTCATGTGTCTTTATACACAAGTAATCATGAACATAAACTTTTCACCCTTAAGCATGATTTTGATCAATTGTGGTGTTTGTTTGATTACTGCTATCAGGTTAAACATTCAAGTCTTCTTTGCACAAATGGATGTTGTTGCCATAATTTACACATCTTCCATGTTAGTTCCAGAAATCTACTGCAAAAACATATATGCAGTAGATCTCACACACACTAATTATCTAAGATGCATCATGAGGAAGTCTATTCCATATAGTGAGAGCTACTACTTCTCATGGAAGCTTTCATCAGCAGGGCCAGAATGAGTGTTTCTACTGGTTAATTTCAACTATTTGATTCCATCAATGAACTGAGTAACAGCTATTCAGTGGAGTAATGTTTCACAAACTGAAACTTTATTATTCTGATCCTTCGACGAGTTGTTTCCAATCACATGAAATGTTTATTTATGATGGTGATATTAAGAAGATATCAAGGTAGCTCCAGTATGGATACTTCTGGTGTTAAACTGAAGATTGCACTCTATGGATTGGTTATGTGTTAAAAGAAGTACATGGTATTTTGTGTATTATGCATAAACCTAACTTGTAACCTATATAGAACTATTGTAGGTATACATCATCTTTCTTATTGAATACAACCTTTGACATCCTCTTATGTGTATACCAAATCACATTCTAGCAATTATTGATTGGTGAGTACTTTCTTTTGGACTGAGAGTTCATCGGAAACAATCTGCGGTCGGATATAAACTATGCATCAATCATGTTTTTATCTTCTTTATATAGAAATTATAACACACTCAAATATGCAATAGAGCATATTATAAACTTCAAATGGGGTCATCTGTCCACTTTCCTTTTCTTTCATTGGACTTCATCTTCTTCTTCTCTCTCCTTTCCCTTTTAATATTAATTTATATTTGGGAAAGTGTTTCTCTCTTTCCATTTGATAATTTTTTTTAATTTCCTCTATCCAATCATATAATATGTGTACAACCTCATCTAATGTTTCTATGACAATGTACCAAATACTATTTTTTCTAAAAGAGAATCTTTGTGACCTTTGACTTAGAGCTGTAAATGCACCTTTCCATAGCCACCTCATCAAATTTCATTGGTGTCACAAGCATTATAAAGTTGTTATCAGATAAAATGATAACTTAATAAACAAAACTCTGAAGATTAGTACTTAACTAAATAGTATTAATGTTAATTATCTTATCATAAGTAAGTGAGTTAGCACAAATTATGTCATCATAAGTTTGGTTAAAACACTATTGTGAGTGTATAATTTATAATTTTTTCATCACATAACCCCACCCCCACCCCCAACTCTACTAACTAGCCTATGAGCTTATGACCCCACCTAGCTTCACATCCACATGGCTCCTAATAAAACTCCATAAAAAATCTTAAGAAAAAGCATCTTTAACAGTAACATAATATAAAGACAAAAGGAGTAAAAACACACCTCAATTTTGGTGAATCTATCAGTTACACACATTTTCGTTGAACTATTTAAAATTGAAATTATTAAACTGACATACGGTAAAAAGATTTTTTAAAAAAAATAATATCTTTTTTTTTTTGGTTTCTTTACTGTATTTTTTAGTTGACATTTTTTATGCCATGAATATATTTCCCTTTTTTGTCTTCTTATTTTTTTCCTTTTAATTTCTCACCACAATATCATTATCGATGCTCAAATTTAAATCTTACTTTATAACATTTCACCGAAAAATCAAGGTTATTAGTGACTTTGTTTTAAACATATTCCATTCACTTCCAGTTATCTTGGTAGAAATTTGCTCCTCGCTTAAAGTCAAATATGTTTCGATTGAAATAACAAAAGAGATAATGAAAAACTAAAAATAATGAAACATATTTAATACTTTCATACCAATTTTTATTTTAAGATGGATATTTATTCAGATTATAATACTTTCACAGAGAAAAGATATATAACTAATAATTTCCCCATAATTGTAAATATGTTTTTGTGCCTTTTTTTCCTCTAATAAAAAGCTGAAAAAGAAAGAAGATCCACCTCGAACACCCCTCCACAAAACTCTTTCTCCATTCTCCCCACTATCCATAAAAAAAAAAATCATTTTTTTCCCTCTTACCTTCAATACCCAGAAATCAAGATTCTTCAGTAAGAGGGAGTTGGGTGATAAAGACAAACACCCATCTCAAAAAAAATCTCATCTTTCAATTTGTACACTTGTCTTTTTCCAACCCCATATCTTGTTTATCACCTGGTTTGTTTAGATTCTTTTGTCAATCTTTAAGTTGAGATAAAAAGGAGAGATCTTTATTATCTTTTTTTTTTTGTTTTGTTTTTCTTTCCTTTTTGATGGTTTAAGTTATAGTCTTTTTATTAGTTCTAAGTAGTAATCCAAGTGGTAACTTGTTATGATTCAGGTTCATCTGTTAACCAAGTTGGAGTTGGAGTCATAAAGATTAGATCTTGTTGGGGTTTTAAGGAAGATGAGGATCGGGGGATTTTAGTAGCTTAGTTTGGTTGGCTTAAAAGGGTTTTGATTCATCAGGTTCCTTAACCCCCAAATAAGGAAGGATGAGGGAAGAAGATTCAAATTGGTTTGCTAAGTGGGAAGAAGAATTGCCTAAACCAGAAGAGTTAATGCCTTTATCTCAAACCCTTATAACACCGGATCTTGCGATAGCTTTTGATATTCCAAACCCCACAAGCCCAAATCCTCAGAGCAAACAGCAGCAGACTCCTCATGTTCAATCTTCTCAGCCAAATTCATCAGCTGAATTTGAGTCTACTGAGCTGAATGGGGGAGGAGGGGGAGATGAACCAGCTAGGACATTGAAAAGGCCACGTCTTGTGTGGACACCACAGCTACACAAGAGGTTTGTGGATGCAGTTGCTCATTTGGGGATCAAGAATGCTGTCCCTAAGACTATAATGCAACTGATGAGTGTAGATGGATTAACACGCGAAAATGTTGCGAGTCATTTGCAAAAGTATAGGCTTTATTTGAAACGTATGCAAGGTCTTTCTAACAGTGGAAGTGGTGGGAGTAATGCTCAGTCTTTATCAGGGGCAGGTGTTGATCCAGCAATGGATAATTTGTTTGCTAGTTCACCTGTTCCAGCACATTTTCTACATCCAGGGAGAGGTAATTCTGACCATTTCATGCCGTTTGTGCCAGTGACACCGATGCCGCATCACCATCATATGGGAGTGGTTGTTGGACACCATCCACAAGTTCAACAGCAGTATAGGCAATTTGGTTCTCCGGCGAATGGACATTTTGAGCATCCTTTTCTGTCTAGGCAATCACAGCAGCAGGTTCAGAGGATGGGGACATCTGTGCATAATGGTAGTCCTGTGGTGTCATCTTATGTGGAGGATGTGGATTCAGCCACCGCCGTCAATGGGAGGAAGGTCCTTACACTGTTTCCAACAGGGGAAGATTGATATCAGGGTAACTGTTGATTTTTAGCCTTTTATAAATCCTGTTAATTTGACTTCTATGTATTCTAGAATTTGAGTTAAATAACATTTGCGCTTTGTGTTAGTACCCTTTATTGGATTAATGATGCTTTAGTGTTAATATCTATATGGAGTTGTCGATATGGTCTTCAACTCTTAATGGAACTGTGAATCCCCTTTTATAAGAATTTGGGTTTAGTGTCGGTTTTGAAACTGTTCAGTTAGATGAATTCTACTATTGTAATTAAGTTGTGATGAGTTTGACTTGTTTAATTGTCCCTTACGTTTACATTTGCCACGCTGGAACACCGAAGTAAATTTGTCGCTGTTGGTTTGGGGAGAATTGAGTTTATTTTCCCCCCTCTGAAATGCCAAAATAAGACTTCCTTGCTACTCGTAGTAGTAAACTCGTCAAGTCCACGTGCCTTGTGAAGTTTGTTTTTAATGGTTTACTATATGTTGAAGGACTTCTCTTATATGGTATTAGCTCCTTCCCATCTGTTTTTCCTTGTGTGTTGAAAACTTTACCTTCTCTTGTTTTCTCCGTTGTTCGTGTTTGTCTGAATCCTCATTCCTTTTTCTAATTGGGATGGAAGTTCATCCTCACAATAAGAGGTTGATTAATTCTATTGAATGACAACTACTACAACAACAAGAACGGCATATCCAGTATAGTCTGACAAGTGGGGTAGAGAGGTTGTTTCCAATAGACGCTCGGCTCAAGAAATAGAATCAATCGCAAGTCAATCTACTAAATGAGTACTCCAGTGGCTAGAACCACAAAAGAATTATGTGTGCAACCATGCATGAATTGTATTTCTTTGCCTCTTAAAACATACTTGGCCTATTGGACTTGCTCATCTGAGATAGAGAAAGAAGGATCGTATGAAACCTTTATTCGACTTGATTAACTAGTTGAGTGTCACTGCTATTACTTTGTTCCTGCTCTTTGTTATACTGATCTGAGGAAATTTATCATCTGTGTGTGATTTCTTTTCTTTTTAAAAATAAAAAATTGAAGTAATCCTCACTGGCCATGTGTGGTTCTGGCTGTATTTTAGTTTACTATAATATCTGTTCAGACTTTCAAGATAACTAAATCTAGATTAAATTTTATAATTATATGCAAATTGCAAATAGTTCAATAACCTTCCAACTTTCTGTGAAGTTCTTTCTTGGACTTGGTAACTGTCCCTTCCATTTTTATTTGCTATGCTGAGGTGTGTTTTTAGGGAGAATGAGCTCATCTCCCTTTTAAAAATCTATCAGTTTTCTTGCTTTTTCCATCGTTTGTGTTTTGTCAAAATCCTCGCTCCTGATCTTTACTCTGGAAGTGGGATGGAGGTTCATCCTCCACATTAACGGATTTTCTCTGCTAACCTTCGTTCTATTGAATGTCTCAGCACTAAAATCATATGTGAATCAATCTTCTAAATAAGTGCCATGGATTTTTCTTTGTATCACAAAGAGAAACGTAAACTTTCTGGCTATGTATAACTTTCCCTCTTAACAGATATTTTCCTTTGTGGACTTGCTCATTACTATTGCTTTGTTGCTCTAACTCTTTTAAAAAAAAATGGCAACAGTTGCATGTTGGATCCTCTGACACAACTGTAGCAGCATTTTATTTTTTTTTGGAGAGAACATAGATTTGTTGTACTGATATGAGCAAATTCATTTGTTAGTAGTATAGAATGATGGTGGGGACTAATAGCATTCCTTGTTCTTTCCTCTTATGAAATTTTTTAAAGTATTTTCAGAATGGTCCTAGCTGTTATATCTACAGTTTACATTATAATTTGGGTTGGGATTAATCCTAAAATTCTGTTCAACATTGTTTGGTGTTTGCCAACTCAAATTTTGTCATACATTAATATCTAGTCAGTATCATGCCAAAAAAATTATTTTGAAGATGCTCTCTCTCTCTCTCTTTTGTAGTTTATAGAAGGAATTAAACAATAACAGTCATATTTGTTGGGCTTGATTGAGTAATATGTGTAATTATTTTTCTGCTTGAAATATTAGGAAAAAGTGGTGTGGATCCTATGACTAGGTAGTTACAGTTGGTCATACAAAATTATGAGTCAAAAAGTGAGAAAATCATTGCTTATTTTTTTTGTGACCCTCTCAACGCTAAAAAAGAAAATGTGACGTTAAGGCTATGAGAATGATTTTTACTAGTTCATTGCTGATTATTGTAATTAATAATTTGGGCCAAATATAGTAAAAATTAATGAATTTACATGAGAAAATCCAAAAAATCTTGTTTCATGACCCCCTAAATGAGACGAACATCCCTTTCTTTCACTGATATATATTTGCTTTTAATAGCGTCTAAATTTTAGGTCCAAAATCTAAGTCACGTGTTTTTCCAAACAGATCTGATCTTGTAAAAAATATATACAAATTGTCTTTCACATCATGCAAAATTGCTCCTTGATATGTGGAATTATTATAATGAAAGAAGAATCAAAGACTTGGCATGGATTTGCAAATCAAGCAAACAGATGTATACTAACAAAATTGCATATTAATTTCTTAATGACAATGAACAACCATATATATATTTGATAGTGATTTAGTATTTCCTTGTTTAAGACTCTCATTTCCCATTTTGACACAATAGCCATTCCATCTCAAGTGGTTTACCGAATCGGTCTGGCCAGTCGGGGAAGAGAGATAACTACTATTAGGTTAATGAATTGAGTATGAGAATGTAAAGACAGAACAATTAATAGTAAGGGAGTAATAATAGCAAATGCATATAGTAGTTCATATGAAGTCAGTACTTAATTCTTCCACTCGAACTGAGTTCCAAAAAATGAAAAGCAAAAGGGACTAATAATGCAGAGCACCAAGTTTAATAGAGTATTACATTTTTAACCTACACCAGGATAGAGCACTAAGAGAGAACAAAAATTACATTCATCAACTGTGGTTCTGGGAGTATCCAAAGCTTAGCGGTTGCTGACAGAAAGAAGGCTGCAACAAACAAAACAAGAGATATCACACACCACCAAAGTGTTTGAATATACACAACTATGTTTTAATCACCACCATAGTTGATATATACTTCCACTTCATTAAACAATTTTAACATAATAACCACTCGGTGTGAATAAGTATTGACCCTATACTAAAGAAATGTCACACAAATTCTCAAAAAATAATAAATAGAACTTGATAAATAAAACAGAGATAAACCAACAACATGAACAGATGGGCAGGCGTGCACCATCAACAGAGGTCCCCAATTCTGAAAGTTGTTAAATATAACTAAGAAATTACCCTTTCGGATAACACTGGACTTGACCCTAATGTTCACTCATATTTTCTCAACCTTATAGACATACAAACCATAGACAATCATCTAACATTTACAATGACTCACAGAATCTTACATTGTGGTTTAGTTTTCCCATTTACTTTTAGCTGAGACAGCCCCTTTACCTTCATAAGGTAGGAGTAAGGCTTCAGACTCTACCTCTCCAGACGCCCATTTGTTGGATAACGCTGGGTATGTTGTTGTTGGTCTAGTTTTCTCATAAGATTTTTCAGTTTGCTCAAAAAGGGATCTCCATAGTCTTGAGGTCTCCATCAGTTGGCAAACAAATAAAAAAAGGGTCACTTACTAAAATAATTGTCCCATTTTCGGACAACTAATGACAATTGCTGCTGTAGTTGACACTCAAAAAGGAGAACTCATACTAATATGCATACCCTGATAATATTTGCCAAGAAATATGGCAGTAGTTATTTCTCCTAATAGGTATATTCATTGGAATATAGCTGGTCAAAATGCAAAGCCAGGAAAAGAATACAAAATTGCAAGATTCTAATGTTTATTAGTATCTGCCAATAATACTAGGAGCTAATAGAACAAACAGACTAGCCACATTAGAACATATTATTATATGTAAAGACCAGCATTCCAAACATAGAGCTTAGGATAACTGCCAATTTATAGATGACATTATTAATGCCACGAAATAGGAAAGAGACCCTAGAGGAACGCTTCTATATGTGGCACTCAGTTTGTATGCAACATCTTAATTATGAAAAACATAAGATTGATTATTCCATTCACCTTAGCTTCCAAACCATAGTTCTCATATATGACAAAACACAAAATTATATAATTTGATAAAAGTGGATCCTTTGGTGAGCTGTTGAAATATTATTTGGCCATAACTCGTTTTATGACCAAAAAAGGCTCCTAATAGAGTCATACAACAAAATAATCAGTGCTTCATAGAACAAGGCCCCAGATATATTTGAGTCATAATGATTGCCGATTCAATTCAAGAAAGAAAAATAATATCCAAGGGACATGAAGCTGATCAGTACCTGAAAGAAGGCATGTCTAACTTGATCATATGAATGTGCATAAATCATGCTCTGGGTTGGCCACTGCATGAATACTCCATCATTGAGGGTCTGATTGAATCCCATGGCATGGTATGGGCTAAGAACAGGGCTCCTGTAATTTGGTGAAGCTTGAGCACTGGGCAGCTGACTCATCTGAGGAAAAACAGCATCGTAATGTACATATGGAGGCTGAAACTTCTGCACATCAAAAGGTGCCACGCTAAAGCACTGACCAGATGGGACGCTCTTAACATATCTGCATCAGTTTGAAAGACAATTGTACCAACTTCAAACACTATCTGATGATATAAATTATCAGACATATATATCCTTGGTTTGAAATATAGAAGGTAACTGAGATGAAGCGTTGCAGAATATACAAATATATGAACAACTGGTTGCAAATGGCCAATAACTTACCTAACATAATTCCGGTCATAATCAGGGTCACTCAGCTCTTTCTCCCTGTCCCTAAAGATGGCAACTCGGGAAGAAGTACCACCTTCTCTGTTGCTGATGCTTTTCTCCATATCCAAGAGTAACCTGTTTGAAGATTCATTCTCATCTATGTTGTTCTTGAGGTCAGAAGCAACATGAACCAAATTGTCTCTAGTCTCAGAGTTAATAGGACTATTAAAAATGCGTGCACGTGCCCTGTCATACTCCTCTTTTCTCTCTTCCACAGTTCTTACTTGACTGCGTTTTGCACCCAATTCACTATCTTTCGAAGAGGTGTTACTCGGCCTTGGTTGTATTACTATTTTCATCTTCTCGTATTTGTCACTGTCAGATTGTTTAGGTGGGACGTCCGATAAACGCACAGCAGGGTATTTGCTTTCAGGTTTTCTTGTC